TTTGTTTTAGAGCTGTTTACTGAAAGAGCTGTAGATACACACTTTACAGTAAGCACCAGATATAGTATACAGGTATACTGAAGGAGCTGTACATACACACTTTACAGTAAGCACCAGATATAGTATACAGGTATACTGAAGGAGCTTTAGATACACACTTTACAGTAAGCACCAGATATAGTATACAGGTATACTGAAGGAGCTGTAGATACACACTTTACAGTAAGCACCAGATATAGTATACAGGTATACTGAAGGAGCTGTACATACACATTTGAATCCGAGTCATACTAATGTCATCAATTCAGACATATCATGAGTACAAATACTTGTGTAACACATCTGATGTCAGAATAATGTCATCAATTCAGACATATCTTGAGTGCAGATACTTGTGTAACACATGATGTCAGACTACTGTCATCAATTCAGACATATCTTGAGTACAAATACTTGTGTAACACATCTGATGTCAGACTACTGTCATCAATTCAGACATATCTTGAGTGCAGATACTTGTGTAACACATGATGCCAGAGTCTCAGTCAGACTACTGTCATCAATTCAGACATATCTTGAGTGCAGATACATGTGTAACACATCTGATGTCAGAATAATGTCATCAGTTCAGACATATCTTGAGTGCAGATACTTGTGTAACACATCTGATGTTAGAGTCTCAGTCAGAATATCATCATCAATTCACTGAGATATCTTGAGTGCAGATACTTGTGTAAGATGTCAGAGTCTCGGTCAGACTAATGCCATCAATTCCGACATATCTTGAGTGCAGATACTTGTGTAAGATGTCAGAGTCTCAGTAAGACTAATGCCATCAATTCCGACATATCTTGAGTACAGATACTTGTGTAAGATGTCAGAGTCTCAGTCAGACTAATGCCATCAATTCAGACATATCTTGAGTGCAGATACTTGTGTAAGATATCAGAGTCTCAGTCAGAATAATGTCATCAATTCAGACATATCTTGAGTGCAGATACTTGTGTAAGATTTCAGAGTCTCAGTCAGACTAATGCCATCAATTCAGACATATCTTGAGTGCAGATACTTATGTAACACATCTGATTTTTTTGTGTATCACAGACTTGTACATTTTACTAAAAGCTTTCCATACTTCATGTAGTTACACATAGTAAATTGGGAATTATATTTAACATTCTCTCTCCAATATGGGAAATTTTAGTTAATAAAAAAGATCTGGGTAGAAAGGTGATAAGAAACGTAAGAATTGGTAGAAATTTCCATCTACATTCTCTCTAGAGCTGAAAACTGTGGCTAAACATTAAATGAAAATGCTTCTAATTCTACTTTGACAGAAGCTGAGCCGAGCCTGGAGGAAGAAGAAAGTATCTTGGAGCTGTTTGATCTGGTGAATCAGAAAAATTCTCTCTTTCGTCGTCAAGCCGAACTTATGTATCTGTACGTTTCCTTGTCTGTTACTTTGCTGTCATAATGTAATTTTTTTATGGTAAATCAAGGGTATAAAGACACTTTATGTTCGGTAAATAGTAACACAGTGCTTGTTGATACATTAGTTCTCTACCTTAAAACACATTTGTGATATTTTCACTCCTTGCTAGGATTCTGTTTTGGCTTTTCTTTTTGATAATCTTATTCGGTTCAATGTGTGTTGATTTCAAATTAATACTTTTCTCAGTTTTGATTTTATGTTTTTTAATGCCTGTTGTGTAAGTCACATGTGATGGATTACACTGGAAATTGTAAATTATACTTTTTTGTTAGTTATTAAAATAAAAATGTTCAATGTTGATCTTAGTTCATCATGCTAACATTAACATGTAAAGGTCTTCACACTTTTTTAACACAGATATCTAGCATGTGTTATTTACTTTTTACTGCGTGTTGCCATTAATCAGGAAAACATTCAAATTGTTGGTAGTATTTCTAGTGGATTGTTTTTGATAAACGTGACATTCTTCTCCAGTAAACGTTCTCAGAGACTTGAAGAAGAACAGGTGGAGCTGGAGTTCCAGATCCGCTGTCTGATGAGCAAGCCAAGTAAGCATTCACTGAAATCACAAAACCCTAAGATACAAGTAAAACAGATCCGTTATGTTGATACATGTAATAATAATACACTCTGTCGTATTACACCCTCCCCGTATCGAAATACTGTACTTGTTAATTCACAATTGCTTTAAAATACAGCAGCTTGCTATCAAGAATTAAATCATGCTAGGACTATCAGACTTGGACTTACTCTAGTAGAGTATTCAATGTACAGTAATGATACTAAGAAGCCATAAACTAGAAGAAACACAAAACAAACCCTTTCTGAAGTTATACCTTCATTCTTAAGGGATGACTTGGAAATTCCTGTCTTCCAATAACACTTGTGTTTATAATTGAATGGATAGCAATGTAACACTTGCATTTATAGCTGTGTGGACACTTGCATTTATAATTGTATCGATAGCAATGTAACACTTGGGTTTATAGCTGTGTGTATAGTAATATAACACTTGGGTTTATAGCTGTGTGGATAGAAATATAACACTGAGGTTTATAATTGGATGGATAGAATATAACACTTGGTTTGTGACTCTTTAGAAAGCAATATAACACATGGGTTCATAACTGTGTGAACAGTGGGGTTCATAACTGCATGAACAGTAATATAACACACGGGTTCATAACTGCATGAAAAGTAATATAACACGGGTTCATAACTGCATGAACAGTAATATAACACACGGGTTCATAACTGCATGAACAGTAATATAACACACGGGTTCATAACTGCATGAACAGTAACATAACACACGGGTTCATAACTGCATGAATAGTAATATATCACAAGGGTTCATAACTGTATGAACAGTAATTATGTACAGTTCAGGAGATGAGAAATGTCCTAATTGAAGATTTATGTTCTCAAAAATAATAGTTGTCACGATAGTTACTAAAGAAGATTAATTATAATTAATAGCTGTCACGATTGTTACTAAAGAACATTAATTATAATTAATAGCTGTCACGATTGTTACTAAAGAACATTAATTATAATTA